AGCCGGGTTTTCAGTATCTCCGAGGATGGAGACTGCCTAACCTGTCTGGGCAGCCTGTTCCGGTATTCAGCCACCCTCACAGTGAAGAAGCATTTGCTGATGTTCAGAAGGAGTTTCTTGTGTTTCAGTTTGTGCTCGTTGCCCCAGTCCTGTCACTGCTGAGAAGAGTCTGGCTCCGTCTTCCTTATGCATCTCATTGGATATCTATAAACATCAGTTAGATTCCTACGAGCCCCACCTCTCTCAGCTTCTCATCATATAACACGTATTTCAGTCCCTTTGAGGCCCTTTGCTGAGCTCACTTCAGTAAATCTATATCTATTTTGTACTGGGGGGCCCAGAACTGGACACAGTACTCCAGATGTGAGCTCACCAATGCTCAGCAGGTGAGAAGGATCAGCTCCTTTGACCTGCTGGCAGCACTGTTCCTAATGCAGCCCAGGATGCCGTTGGCCTCCTTTACCATAAGGGTGCATCACTGACTCATGTTCAACTCTTAGGCCCCAGGGTCCCTGTGGACGTTCTCTGCAAAGCTGCTCGCCAGCTGGTTGGCCCCAGCCTGTGCTAGTACAAGGGATTATCCCTGCCCAGGTGCAGGGCTTTGCACTTCACTTTGCTGACCTTCATGAGGTTCCTGTCTGCCTGTTTCTCTAGCCTGTTGAGGTCCCTCAGAATAGTAGTGCAGCCATCTGCTGTATCGTCAATCATATAATTTAAAAAAAAAGAGAAAAACACAACACTGTAAGTTTCCCTTATAGCTTACTACAGTGTAAAGTGTGTCATTAATACCATAAACTGGTTAAAATACTTATTAAACTCCAGGATGTTTACAGCAAAGTATATTGCGCTTTGGTTTTGGATTTTCTTTATTAGGGTAACGTTAGAAATTTTGGGACAGTGTTGATATGAAAAAAAATTGAACGATAATTCTTAAGATGTCAGAAATGCTTTGCTTTTACAAAAACTAAGGCATACAGGTTATGTGTGTAATAGGCTGTTGACCAAATTTGACAGCATTCTTTTGGTATCCCAAGGGAAAAATTTTACCTCGTGCATGCCAAGAGTGGTCTTGCACTTACTTCTGAATCTCAGCTTTAGATAGCCTTTATTTTTTTTGTGCTAAACCAAAACAGGGTAGCTTTGAAAGTATAACTCCATCACTGCTTCTTGTCTGTCTTATAGCTTTTGGACAGAGGTCAGATTCTTAATGCGTTTGTACTTTGAAAACAATCTTGGCTGGGCCTATTTTCAGCCCTGCAAAACAAATAATAGCCATGTATTTCAAATCACTGAAGTGGACTGTAGTAGTATTTTGTATATACATTTTTTGGAACCTCAGTTTGAATTAGAAGGTTGTGGTGACCCTGGAGTGTAGTTCTTCAATGTTACTACTGATTTATTTGACAAGACGTTTCTCAAATAAAGCTGACTTGGAGGAGGGAGGACACTTACCAACTGCTTATGCTGTTCCTTGGTTGAATTGATACTTAAGTTGTCCTGGACTTGTCCTTAGTTTCTGTCACTGCTTTTAGCTATTGTAAACTTCAGATAAAGACATAGAACATCCTCTAGAGGGAGATCGTGACGCTTTTCTGTGGCTAAAGTGTGAGTCACCTTGTTCCAGTTAAATGTCTCAATCACTTATCTTGGAGAGGATCTTTGAATGTGTGTTTTTGTTTAATAGGAGCCTGTTTTCTGGATCTGTACTTGAAAGCTTCATTGCAGAACACAGAGCACAGCCTGTAACTTAATGTCTTTGTAGGTTAAATAAAACATGTATATCTTTTTTTTTATTCCACAGAAACCTAATTCTGAAATTAAATGAGTAATCCTTCTGAATTCTAATGTTCTACTCCTGCAGTAGTATTTGTTTTATATCTCTAAACCAAAGATTTCAGCATCTGATTTGAGAGTGTTGAGTTAAATCACTGTAGTGTGACCAGTGCTAAGCAAGAAAGCAAAGCAGAAATAAAATGTCACCTTATTTCGTCAGGCTTAGCGATTGAAGGACAAAAGTACTTGTTGCCCGTAACTAGCAGAGGTTGGTGTTTGTTTATTTTCTTTTTGTTTTGTTTTGGTTTTTTTGGACAAACCAATTTCTTGAATGTGCCGAAACCTATACTTCACTTGTTCCATACAAACTTTCGGATTGCCATCGTGGTAAGCTATTCAGCATGTTGCGTATACGGTCTTGGCCTGTGATTTCTTTTTCACAGAAACTTAGAAAAGCTTACTCCACAGTAAGGCATCTATGCTTTTATTTTCTATAAAAGTGGATACAAACAGTGAATTTGCTGTAGCTTTTGGCATAAGCCTGTTATGTAAAATAAAGGCTATGTGGAATTTACCCTCTGCAGAGAGTTTGAAATTATCGTGATAAATTTTTGATACGTTAGTAATCTTCTAGTTGCTCCCTTTTTATTTGACAGTTGAATCTGTTCCGTAGAGAGGACTTGAAATATATAGGTTTTATTAGCCTCACTCCGAAATGTTTGGAGTATTTTTATTCCTATGGTTGTACCTCCCGAAACACTGCATTATTACATTATTCTCTCAGGAAAAAGTGCTATAACAAGTAAGGTTAAAGTGATTTACAGTACCTATCTTGTAACTTTGTTTTCGTTTTCATATTCATTTTCATTGTCTTGTGGTATGCAATGTATCTCTGCAATGCATTAAAAATGTATGTAAAGTGCTTGGAGGTGAATGATGTTGCATAATTGAATGTATGAATGTGCTATGAGAAGGAATAAAATATATGAATAAACAGGAATAAAAACATGAGTATCTGTAAAAAGATATGAATATGCTTTAAGTGATTCAAATTGTAGAGTCCGTAATGAATTGTGTTCTGAATGATCAATTCTTTATTGTAGATCATCCTTTTGGAGGATTACAGCACTGAGATTTCTGGAGTCTGCTGTATCTAGCCATAATGAGTTCATCGTTGGTTGCTTATGATGATTCAGACTCTGAGGCAGAAATGGAAAAGACTGAAGTTCCTGATACATCTAGTAGAGGAACAAGCCTTCCAAGTTCTTCTGTAAATCATATTCAGTATTTTGCACCTGGTAGTTTGTGCACAAAATCTATATATGAAATGCAACCTGCTGAGAACACTGACCGTTCTGGCATGGGTATTATTTATGAAGATCCCCCTGAGTATTATACTCGGAATAATAACCCTGATTTGACGTCTCCTTATTGTAGGAGAGCTCCCCCTAGCCACGCTGTATTATGCATGTCCAACAGAAACTATGAACAGACATCAAGCTCTTCAATAAACCCTGGCATTTCTCCTCAGAAGAGAATACATAAAGACAGTATTACTGCCATAAAGGGAATTAGACCATATATCCCTAAAAGACTGCGTCAAGAAAATTCTGGTACGTACAAAGAAAAAGAATCTGATCAGGGAGAAAACTCAAACTGTGATGTTAAGTTAGGCATATCAGGAGAGCAGACTTTGACAAAAATCTCTGAATTAATTAAGCCTTATTTAGGATCCAAATACAAATTCACTGAAGTCCCCAAAAACTTAGTATTTCATATATCTGAACACAGTGGTCCTGTTAATGAGATCCAGTGGTGTCCTGTACGAGAACAGAGTCACATGCTTCTCTCAGCTTCCATGGATAAAACAATCAAGGTAATGTAAAACAAGATGCTTTGTGAACCAATTAAAACTTAAATGTACTATTTTGAATAATCTTCTGGAAATAACAAAATTGCTTGCTGTTGTTTGACGGTCCTCAGAATTTGAGCAGATGTTTTGTAGTACCAGAGGCTTTTAGGAAATCTCAGGTTAATCCCTTTCTATGCATAGAATCCCCTTATTTCAAAATATTTTTGTATTAGACATGCCAACTTCCTGGATATTAAATTAAGAAGCTATATTTCTAGTAGGTGACTATGTTGTAATCTGTAATAATGACAAGTTTCTGATATTTCCCCCTTTAAGGTCACTGCCGCCATAAGCACAGTTGGGATACAGATTCTACCTTAAGTCATTAAACAACTGATTGCCAACATTGGAAAATTATTTTGGGGAACTTTACCTTTCTCATAGGCCTAGGTGGCTATTGCTGGAGATAGTGTGCTAGCTCAGATGGATCTTTCATCTGAATTTTTATGGCAGTTCTTATGTCCCAAGAAGAGGTCCTATCATGATCTAAGGAATCTGTTCACTTTCAAGTTTGTTTCAGAGGTTGATTGCTCGCTACTTTAAGTGTATTTGTCTTCTAATTCCAATGTATTTGGCTTCAGTTACAGACACCAATTTTTCCTTTAATTTAGTCAGTCCAATGAACCTTACTTTTATTTTTAGAATGGATAATAATTTTATGTGGAAAAATACCACTTATTTTCCCAGAAATGGAGCTAATGCCACTTGTGGGCTCAAATAGTATTATATGAGTAAAAAGATATCTGGAAACTCCAGAAGGCGTTTACACAGGACCATAGTTTTGGTAAGAGTGCATGGAATGGGTGCTCTTTTTGTGGAAAGCATGCTTTCCCCCTTTATGTAACATAGCGGGTACAAGTATTATTTAAAAATTTCTTTCTAATCTTACCAAGCGTAGCGACAGGAAGAACAGCCTTGGTTTCAGCACGTTTCTAAAACCAAATGAGAGACTGGAACTTCAAAATAGAGTTTGAATTCTCTTTTCATGTTAGAGTTCGTTAGGAATGAAATTCTCCTGGAGTTTATTAAAACTGAAGTTTTACCATTTTTCTTTTTTGTTCTTTAAGTGAAGAATTGAATTTCATTTAGTTTGTTTTTTGATATGGCTTTTCTTGTTCCAGAATTTTGTCTGCTTTCCTCCCCCCTGTTTTGCTATGGAAAGTTTTGGGGCCATATGAAATATGTACTGACTTCACATCTTTCAAACAGTGGTGTGGAATGTCAGACGAAGCTATACTTTTTCCTAAATGCCTATTAAAGCGTTGTTTTTTTGGGGGGTGGGGCGGAGGGACGACACCCCCCCCTTCACCTCCCAAGATGTTTAGCCTGAATAAAATTTCCTTCTCTGTTGCTTAACTATTATTCTCTTACAATATAATAATTTCACTGTTCTGTGTTTAGTTAAGCCATCAAAGTTAGAGTTCTTCATGAACCATGATGTATTTCCTCCTTCATCCTCTTTCCAAAGCTGCTTTTTGTTCATATGTCATATGTTCAGAAGTTGCTTTTCTTCATATGTCAAAGATAAAATAGAATAAAAAAATCTTTCTCTTTGCAAGTTTCTTGTAGTATACTGAATAAGTTAAAACTTGGCAACTTGGCCACAGTTTGAAGAACAGACTTAGAAGGGAGAAACCAAAGATGCCAAAAACCTCTAGCAGCACTTTTTGCTCATGTGGTATTTTAAATATGGACTATACAAAACTATATGCATCCCAGACTTCAGTATGCCTGAATTTATCTTTGTCTTAAGCCATGGTACCATATCCGAATGTTTACTAGCCCGGCATTACTAGCATTGCAGTGAGTGAAGTGAAATATGGATATACTCAATTTGGAAAAGTAATCTAGAATGAAAATTGTTATTACAGTGTAACTTTATAGAATGTAAAAGATGACCTCTTATTTTATCTTCTGAGCAGGGAAAGAAGGTTTATTCTTTAATTTCCTAAAACAGTATTATTGCCCCCAATACTTAAAGCAATTTACTTAAACAGTAAACTTTTTTCTTCACTATTTGCCTTTTTTTCCCCCCCCTCCAAAAGACTCTAATTGCCACCATTCCCTCATTCTATGGAAATATGAAGATTGTTAATATTTGCAGTATTTCACAGTATGACAGTCTAAGCACTAGCAAAGTAATACTGTAACTGTATTATGAATTATATTTGTTACATATCAGTGGTTTGGAAGATAATCTGTAGAGAGCTAAAAAAGGAGGCTTCTTATTTTTCTTTTGCAGTCAGATTGAAGGCTGTAATGGTATGAGCAGTGGTAGCTTCAAAAAGTTTACACCTTCATGTAAATATCTTTCAAGCCAGTAGAGGGCACAGTTAGATTAAGTATTGGCTTACTGTTATGAAACTTAATTTCACCAACTTCTTAGGGTCGCAAGCCCATAAATCTGCAGTGAGAAAGCGCTAGTTTATCCTCTGGGAATTTTTAGGCTGCCTGCCATTGCCTGGAGTTGTCTATTTCCTGCTGTAAGTATAAAAAAACCCAAGTGATTGAAAGCTTAGATGCAGATGTGCTTTTTTTCTTTTCTTACTTTTTTTTTTTTTAATTTCATAGCTTTCCCCAGCTCTCCTTTTGGTTATTCACTTCAAAAAACATCTGTTAGAATCACTAGTTTAAATTCAGGCAGTGGTAACTTATCTTGTTGCCTTTTAATGAGAATATTCATGGTGATAGACACTCAGGATGTTCACACTGTTTACTTTGGATATCTAATTTGGATAAGACTTAATGCACCTACAGTTAGAAACCTAAAATCCCTGTGTAATCAGTAGGGAGATTAGGCGATCCAGAGCCATAAAACTGTGTACTTCAGTTAGTCATGTGAATAATGTGCAGTATAATTGCAAATGAATATTTGAATGCGTAAATATCTTGGATTCAGTCCTTAAATTCAGCTTATACAGCTAAATATCTTTTGAAGGGTGCAGTATAAGTCAGTGACAGTCTGTCAGGATTGAGAGTTCTGTCTAATCAGGTCAGACTGACACGTGTTCATATTTTAAATCTTCAATAAATTAAAAGATCTATAGCCATGTGCTATTTTGATAGTATTTGGCCAGGTTTACATCTTTTATCTGTTCTTTTGAGCTCAAGTATTCTTTTCTTAATTTTTTTTATCACAAGAATTTCCCATTTTGGGAAAGGATATTTTTGGCATGGAGAGGGAGGAAACACTTGGTTTCTTAGTTACCTTAATTTAGTGGTCTTAGTTTAGGTGGGAATGAAGAAGCTGTATCTTATGAATCTTAGGAATCCTGTATGTTGCACATCACATATTCCTATGTCTTTACAATATATGCATGGAAATGATAATGTGGGCTTTAAATATATTATGTATCCTCTTTTAAATCCAGAGAAGAACAGTCTTTATGTTCTCCCAGTTTACTCGATGTGCATTTTACAGTCTTCTCTTTTATGAATGAGTATAAGTCATACCATAATGCTTGTGAAAATCAGGATGATGTTTTCAGCTTGCAGTTGATCAAAGAATAACCTGATGTCAAGGAAGATCATCTGAAATGGTTTGTATGAACAACTTGTGTAAATAGGAAGGACTACGTTATTTCAGATGGTTTTCTGTTTTTTTTTTTTTTTTGTCAAAACTGTTTCTTAGTGAAATTTCTGGTATGAATGCATTAAAAAAATCACAATAGTTATCGGTGGTTTAGGTCTAACTTTCTTGAGTAACACTTCTACCAGCAGATGGAGTTCTTGAGCACCTCAAAGTGATACTAACTAAACTAGTCTCTTAAAAGCATAAAAAATTTTAATGGTTGCCCATTTTGTGTTGAAAGACAAAAGTTTATGTATGTGTGTTGCAAAGCATATAAAAATCTTCATAGAGACAGGAAGGCAAGACAGAACTTCATAAGGGAAGGTTATATGTACTGCAGATTAGTTACTTACAGTTCTGCTACTATGGAGCATTATAGATTTCATGCAAAGTTTTAAATCTGTAAGGAATACAAAAAGCGTTTAGATATATACTTTGGAAATAGTCTTTTACTATCTTTTATTTGGATTTTGAGTATTCCCCTTTGGAAGGGGAAGCTGAGATGTAGAATGTCCCGCTCCTCTTAATAGTAGCGCTCCTGATAATATGCCTGGCTTAGATAGCTAGAGGAAGGGGCAGGAGACTTTATTCAAATTAGGGGAAGAACTATTGGGAGCTTTAGTTGTGGCAGTGCTCTTCATCATCACTAATACCTTCTAACTATATTTTCACTGGCTGTTTCTATTTTAAGTATGCTTTTAAGGGTTGTGAATGAGATTGTCTCAACGCTTGTCCAGACTGATTACACCTATTCTTGTTCTTTAGATAATATTAACTTTTCTGTGTTGTGTCTATTTGAATAGCTGCTGTAAATGAAATCAGTGCCACTTCTGTTTTTGCCATGGTTTTAATAGGACTAATAATCTTTGCATGCATTTTGAGACTCAGCACAGTTAAAGGTGCCTAATTTTCATAGTGTGGATGTTCAGTACTTCCTGAAAATTAGATCTTGTTTAGGTGTTTCTGGTTTAGAACTCAAAATACAGAATCCCAAATCATTGGAGAACACACCTGTTGTTTGTCTCTTAGGATAGATGAAAATTTTCCCTTGAGAGACATGTTTACCAAGTACTTGGTGTAGTGATTTTTGTAAATTCTTAGTGTCTGAAGACCTCATAATTGCATAGAGCCACATTTCTTATTCTTTCATGCTTATCCCTTCTTCAGGGAAAAAAATAACAAAGAAGTATATTCTAGAAATTTATTATTTTCTAGATCCCGTTGTATCAGACTGAAACAATAGAACACAATAGCCTCTATTCATCCACGTAATGAGTGTAGCATTGACAGCAGCAGTACAGACTTGTTTGAAACTGCTGTTACCCTGCCCCAGAGTAACAAACTCTAAAATTATTTCCATTTTCAAACATGCTGCACACAATTCACTGAAATG